CCATCTGGTTGTAAACTGACCATCTGACTGAATCTGGTTCAAACCCATGCTAAATTTGAAAGATCATTTACCTCTTTTAAAAACTAATTTAATAATCAAATTTCCTTTTTCAAACAGTCTTATTACTTTTCTTAAAGCTAATGTAAACAACATAAAACCAACCAAATGAAAATTTCAATCTTTAATTGTTTGCATTTCTGAAACAATATGTTTAACACCAAAGTTGTAATCTTCCCAAAAACAGACTAAACAGAGAGTTTGTTGAGTAAAATTAAAATAAAAAACTGAATTAGAATGAAGGAATAAATGTCACTGAAACTAATGAACAATCTAGTCAAAAGATTCTTGGCATGGTAGCTTTTCTGCAATGTCGAACAGGCCATTAGGGACTACAGGTGGAAAGCTATATCTGATTATAATGTGATGAAAAGCATCTTCTGGTTCTTATCAGATATGGATTTGGTGCACTTGTACACTGTCCCTATCAAATAAACTACAAATAATAATATGTATATATGATAAACTAAATCAGTTGTGTACTATCACATTAAACTACCAGTTTATACTTCAGAGATTTAACTTAACTTCAGTGCCTTATGGTAGGGTAAGCTAAAATGCTGGCTCAATTTACCCCACAGCATTTGGCTCACTTTGCCCCATAGCTGCCATTTTGGAAAAAAACTAGCTTGATTACTAATTCAGGCTAATATTTAGCTAAATGATTTACATGGCTTTATACATTGCTAAATCACTTATATGCATCATAAATATTTTTAGACCTGGATAAATTTACTTTGATGTAACAGCCATTACATATGCTATGCTAAAATTTTACTTTGACAAGCCAAAAACAGTTTTTAAAGTAATTGGGTGCCTTCCACTCCTCCCGTGTGTTTCTTCTTTTCAGAAATTATGGGTGGTTTCAAAATATATGGTCACATGACAATAAAAGTGTACAGTTGGCAAGATACAGGGGGTGGGTCAACTTACCCACTGGCTCATCTTACCCCACTCTCCCCTACTTAAGATTCAAACATACTTATTTGCTCGCCTACTGCTTTTTGCCTACTATATAGTAGGGAAGTATGCTGTTTCGAACGCAGCCAGAGTGTCAATCAATGCATTGGAGAATTCAGTGAACATAAAAAAGGAAGTCGGGGGAAGTCGTGGCCTAATGGTTGGAGAGTCGGACTCGTAACCCAAAGGTTGCGGGTTCGAGTCTCGTACCGGCAGGGATTGTAGGG